AAGTACAGATTTACCATCTGATCCTGATGACTGGTCTCGAGAAAATTTTATAACCTTAAAGAAAACTTTAAAGAATTTTACTAACATTTTAATTTTGTTTTTATTGTTACTATTGTATGTGATAGGGAGAAGTTTCAATAAAAGTGATTTTTAATAAAACATAATTACTTTATATCAATTGTTTTAGTGGCTTGACTATGTTATATCATGGATTTTAATTTATTTAACGTTCTGACAATTACTTTAAATATGGCAAATTCTTAGTAATTATGACGATTTTAATAAAATTTCGTCATTTATTTTAATTTTAAGAGGATAAATAATATATGTATAATAAGGCAATTTTAAGTGCGCTCCGCATATGCGCACAGTGAATTTCTTACACTGAATATAACTCCAATTTTTACTAGTGATGAATTATCAAGCCTCGCAAGCTCTGATCGAAAGAACCAGTGGATTCTCGAAAAAAAATTTGGAAGAAGGGGAGATGCAATTATCCGAAAATGTTCAACTTGAATTCGGAGGTTCAAAAGCCGGTAAACTATATGAAGGACCGAATGAAACAAAGTGACTTAAAGAATCAAGTCTTAAGCTTCAAAAAATGTTACGAGATATGTTTATTAGTTTGTGTGAAAATACAAATTGGGATGTTAAGAAAATTGAACTTTCTGTGTAGCAAGAACTGATACAATTTGTTTTTTCTAATTATTTAGATCTTTTTAGTAATCATTTGTAAATATAGTAAACTAAAATACTTTTGAATTGTTGTATAGTGATTTTAGGCAAAGTATCAAGATTTGAACATGAAGTATTTTTTGTATTTTGTAACAATATTAAGATATTTTTTATTATTATTGCCCGATCAGAACTTTATTAATATATATATCGATGAAATAACATATGGGGATAGGTTCGCTATATTGAAACAATACTAATACTAATTTACTCATATATAACTATATTATTATAGGTATCAAATTAGAGTTCCTCTTCGTGAAAATCGCATAGCTATGGCGAGAATCGGCCGGGGAATGGAATGGTGCCTGAGAGTAAAGTTTTTGCACTTTTATTGCAGCCTTGGAGCCTAAATTATCTAGAAATAAGGTCCTTGCATTGCTAATGCAGCCGCGGAGCCATAGAGCAACTTACCTGCTTTTTACAAATCTCGAACTTTCAGATTAGAATTTTAGGTCCTTGCACTGCTCTTGCAGTCGTGGAGCCTATCAATATAAGTCCTTGCACTGCTTGCAGCCGCGGAGCTTATGAATATATATATACATATATATCTTTTTCCTAGGACTGGGTGGGTAGGGAGGGTATCAGAGCCAGCCATAACTACTGGGCGAGCAATAGCGAACAGAAGATACAAATTCTCCTCTAAGGGTCAACCTTTAAATAATCATCCCTAAACTGATTATCAACCCTCCTTGCCCTACGCCTAGTGATGTGCCATTTATATGATACTCGGATTTTTTTAGCGTACAGTACGAATAGTACGTATATTAGGATTTTTTTTTTATACCATAGTTTCGGAATATTCCGTAATCGTTTCGTAATATTTAGGAACTCGTAAATGTTATGGCCTAAATTTCAGAACTTATAAAATGACTGTCAAAATTTTAGCGTACAGTACGTACAGTACAGTACGTATAGTACAGTACGTATAGTACAGTACGTGGCACATCACTACCTACGCCACTGAAAAACTTCATAACATTCCCCTAGCCTTAGTCAATAATTACCACTTATTCTCAATTCATGGATAACCAAATTTAAAATATTCATATGTTATCCCGGCTAATCTTGGATCAACAAGATACAATGAAAACATTAAATCATAAAAAGATACACATTTACATGCATATGATTTGCTTATAAAGTCACCTGATCTCGCAATAATGATCGCTTCGTCACTTCGTTGACAAGCTTCTCAGTTCTCTATTTGTTTTATATAAAGTCGAAATTAAGTACGCCATATAACAATTTAAAAAAAAAAGAAAAATTGTATTACATGTAAAAAAAAAAAAACTTCTAGACATACAAAAAAAACACAGAAAAAGAACTGAACCAAGAACAGAAAAATTAAATATGGAAGAAAACTACCAACTAACGCTAAAATGTATTCTATTAGAATTTCTAATAAACTGCTTAGATCTGCAAGTGATTCTTTATCTGCTCATCATACAATAAATTACTCCACGTCTTTTTAACGCAAATGCATTATTTGGTTCAATTTTCAATAATTTATTTTAATCTGTAAGTGATTCTTCATATCTGCTCATCAAACGATAAGTTCTTCCACGCCTACTTAATGCAAATGCATTATTCGGTTCGATTTCTAATGATTTATTTAAATCTGCAAGTGATTCTTCATATCTGCTCATCATGATAAGTTTCTCCACGTCTTCATATTTGCACATCAAACGATAGGTTTCTCCACGTGCAAATGCATTATTGGGATTAATTTATTTAAATCTGCAAGTGATTTTTCTTATTTGTTCATCATTCTTCATATCTGTCCATCTCGTGATAAACTTTTAAACGAAGTTTTAATGCGTCAGCGTTATTAACAATTTGCTTAAATCTGCAAATGATTCTTTATTTCTATTTATTATATTATAAATTTCTCAACGACGTTTGATTCGTCGACATTAAACGATAAGTTTCTCCACGTCTATTTAATGCAAATG